TTGAATGGAACCAAAGGGGAAATATACCCTTCCAAATGAAAAAAGAAATTGCCAAATCGGTTTACAAATGAATGAGTTTTAAGGTACCATACATGAAAATAATTGCGTAACAAACATTATCTTGTGCATATACAGGGTTACAAGAAAAGTCGTGCTAGATCCGTTAAGGGCGTGGAGTACCCATCATTTCTGACATATTTCACTATGAAACACCCTACCTTAAACTTAACCCCTTTCGAGATAATCGTCTTTTAATTTTTTTATTGAAATTTGCTGATTTTTAGGCTACTACAATTATTTTTGTTTATTTTGTGTATCTTATTATTATTATTTTTGCATTTTTACATGTGTAATAAGATGCTTTAGGACGTCAGTCATTAAAATAGTTCATAAATTAATTGAATAGATCGTAGTAGACAAGTGAAAGTAAAGAAATAAAAAAAAATATTAGAAAATTATTTTTCTCAAACGGATATCTAAAAACAATATTATGGTAATTGTTCGGCAGATGTTTTTTAAAATATCTACGTTTCATCAGCTATCTAACGAGGTATAACAATCTAGGGTTTGTATTACATTCCGTGGAAAAAAAGTAGTTGGGACGCTCCAGGTAACAATATGCCCAACATATACGCTTTCGAGCGGATCCGACTACTTCCACTAATATTGTTGCCCGTGATCTGGGACTTTCGCAATGGAGAGTGTGGTTTACAGTGCATACTGCTGGCCTATACCCGTACCATTACACGCCGGTACACGTTATTGAAGAAGGAGACCCCGCGAGAAGATTGGACTTTTGCAGATTTATGCTAAATGCTGACGTAGAAGACCCAGATTTTCTAAGAAATATCTTGTGGACGGATGAGTCCAAATTTGATAAAGATGGCATAACTAACTATCACAACGCCCATTACTGGGCCCCAAAAGAACTAAGCAATCCCAATAAGAAAAGAGTGAAGGGGTCCCAACGAAGATTCAGCGTGAATGTGTGGATGGGCATTATCTCCAATCATTTGATTGGACCTTACTTTCTCCCGGATAATCTAAATGGGGAAAGCTACGAAAATTTCCTGAGAGCAGACTTGAGTGATTTGCTGGATGATCTGCCACTCAACCTGATCAGGGACATGTGGTTCCAACACGATGGCTGCCGGCATTTCAGGAGAAGTGTCAGGGACTGGCTGGACACAAATTATCCAAACAAATGGATAGGACGAGGTGGGCCGTTGCCATGGCCAGCAAGAAGTCCGGACCTAACCCCCATGGATTTTCATGTGTGGGGGTGCATGAAAAGTCTTGTGTACAGCGAGCCGAATCCAGTTTCGTCTGTGGAAGACTTACGAGAAAGGATTGTGGATGCAGCAAATAAAATGAGGACCACGTTGACCACTGGAGTAGTGAAGACTGGTCTCCGTAGAAGGATGCGACAATGTATCAGAAATAGAGGCGGCCATGTTGAACATAAACTGTAGAATAAGAAAAAGTTGTGTGAAAACCTTTAATAAATGACATTTCATGCTTAACTATTGTTTTATTTTACTTTTTTGGGCTAAGTATATATTTTCTTCTCCACTGTCGCCTATGAAACTAAAGTTTTTTCAATGTATTTGAATAAAACCTTAGATTATTATACCTCGTTAGATAGCTGATGAAACGTAGATATTTTAAAAAACATCTGCCGAACAATTACCATAATATTGTTTTTAGATATCCGTTAGAGAAAAATAATTTTCTAATATTTTTTTTTATTTCTTTACTTTCACTTGTCTGCTACGATCTATTCAATTAACTTATGAACTATTTTAATGACTGACGTCCTAAATCATCTTATTACACATGTAAAAATGCAAAAATAATAATAATAAGATACACAAAATAAACAAAAATAAATGTAGTAGCCTAAAAATCAGCAAATTTCAATAAAAAAATTAAAAGACGATTATCTCGAAAAGGGTTAAGTTTAGGGTAGGGTGTTTCATAGTGAAATATGTCAGAAATGATGGGTACTCCACGCCCTTAACGGATCTAGCACGACTTTTCTTGTAACCCTGTATATCTGTAACCCAACACAAATACCTAACAAATATCTTGAAAGAATAAAAGGTCAAGACATGATTAGATTTTTGAAAGAGTTAGCCTCTAACTCCCAAGGTCAAGGATCCTTCTATCATCAGCTCAGGAACATGACATAACGACTACTAAATGCATACTACTATTTAGCTAGAGAAACAAGCTAAAACACATTGTCGGGGCTGTAAAATTTGAGGGTTTCCCTCGTTTTCTCTAGGATCCCATCATCAGATCCTGGACTCCAACCTCGGGAGTATACCCTTTCGATTACAAAAATAATTTTGAAAATCGGTCCACAACTGATGGAGATATCACATAACAAACACAAAAAAAATACAGTCGAATTGAGAACCTCCTCTGTTGTGTTAAATAGTAAAAGGTTCATTGATGAAATGAACACGGTCTTTCGGCAGTGGATTCTTTGGAAGTTGAACTAAATGTATGCCCGTTTGAAAGTTGTGTGCTCGAAATGTTAAATTATCAGAAGTACCTTGTATAATGTTGTTTTGACGACAGTGATTCATCTAGCACCGTCTTATCAGTGTTACGATAAAGGAATATAAGTCATTTTTACACTTACTAATATAATAGTATAACAATAACAAAGATTATTTTAATATCATGGCGATTCCTTGAAGGTTTACTGACTCCCTGCCCCAGTTACGTTGGTGCGTTAACAGAAACCTCCCAAGGCTGTTCTCTAGTGCGTAGTTTGGTTATTTCTATAAACTTTCTCTACATTTTCAAGTTACATTATAAGGTTTTAAAGCAAGTTTTAATTAGTTTATTCTATATACCTTAGTACCTAATAGTTAATTAGTTTATTGTTTCTTAGGAGAGGCCTTTGTCCAGCAGTGGACTATTAAAAGCTGTTGATAATATACCTTAGCAGGTTTAATCTTCAAATAAAAAAATTGAAAGTCTTTTGCGATGAAGCGATACGATCGACGAGGTCTTGTAGAACTGAAGTGCTGCTGTAACAGGAAACGCGCCTGCATTTATTTAATTATAAAAATAATATTTTGGGACATCTGACACACAACGCCGTCTAGTTTCAAACTAAGCAGAGCTTGTACTATGAAAGCTAGATTGACTGATAGAATACTTATATACTTTTTTGTAAATACATACATATTATACATAGAAAATACCCTTATAATTGACAAAATCATTTATTAAAATCATGTAGGTGGCGGTTTTTATATCAACAGACAACACATTTGTATAAAGATAGAGGTTCTAATTGTGTGGATAAATGTGCCAAAATCTTTTTAATGACATTTGTGATGAATCCGTTGAATATAGCTCGATATCATTCTTGTAAATGGATATACAACACAAGTATTTTGCCAGCAAGAAAAGGAAATGAATAATATTTTTAATATTCTACCACATTCACACAACACTATCCAGTCCCAAACTAAGCAGAGCTTGTACTATGGCTACTAGACAACTAGAGACAACTGATATAAATACATTTATACTTTTTTTTCTAAATACATACTTATTATACATAGAAACACCGAGACCAAATCAAACATTAAATGTTCATGCACACAAATGTTTGACTTGAGCGGGAATCGAACCCGTGACCTTTGGAATACACAAACCACTACGCCATCTGGTCGAATAATGTGAAAACACTATTTTTTTCTAATGGTTTTGTTAATGTTACAAAAATAATTACATGACTATTTAAGATCACCAGCTGAGCGTACAACATCACTTCATCATTAATTTACATTTTACAATTTAATGCGATATAAAAGCTTGTATCGTCTTTTTAACACTTAATTTATTATAAATAGTCATACTTTGCTCTGCCAACTCCCTAAAACGTGTAAAGACTTATATACGAGAAACAGCACCTGATAAAGTGGCACGATGAATGAGCTCGAACATGAATTGACTGAATGTAGCATTAAAATGCAGTGGAGACAAAATTCTTAGGGCCCCTGACATTGGGCTTTGACCTCACTCCGCCTTTTGGCAGTCACCTTGGCATTGCAACAGGGCCGCATTTAAAGGCAAATTTATACTAAATGTTGAACAGCTACATTATTTCTCCTTTACATACGCATATATTTAGAAGACTACCTATTATCTTGTCTAAATTGTTTACAAAATTATATGTTCAAATTTTAATTATAGAACTTGGCGCGTACTGGTCGCTTTGTTTAGTGCACGCACTTATTATTGTAAGGTCAGCGGAGTTAATATCGGTTACTATCGTGTTGGATCAAATCTCGTGGTACGTATTGCGCCATTAGAACTAAAATTAAAAAATGTGGCTGCGAAGCCTTGAAGTTAAAATAAGTATTAAATACGCAATAAACAGGAGGATTTTATTTAAAATTAACTTGTAATATAATACTTTGACTTAACCGAGTTCGATACTGGAAATCATTATGAGATTTTTAAATATAGATTTATTAGTATCGTCCATCTAATGTTACTACTGAAGATTAAATTACCTACAACAATTAGAATAAGAACGGATTTTTTATAAAAAGATAACCATATGTCGTTGAATTAAACAAATAATTTCGAACTATTCAACGTGTCTTCTAACAAATGAGTTAAATTCTCGACTAAAAGTCTCTGGTCGTGGATAAATAACAAAATATTTAACCCATAGGTACCAAATGCACTGATAGCTTAAATAATTTAAATATTTTACAAATAATTATGCTTGTTTCGATTTTGTTGATATTTAAATGCCACGCTCATGTCTTAACATTGAGTATAAGGGACCTTATGTCATTATAGATAGATTGATGGTAAAAATTCGACGTCCCAGCCACCACTAGCCATTCAGTGAAAAGGATGACTCAAAGATTGCCCAAACGATATGTTATTTACATTCACATAGCTTACTAAATTTACCTAAAACATTAATAAATAAACATTTTTCATGAAAACAAAATAAATTATTTAGCTATCGAACATAGTGAAGTAGATTTTGAGATAAAATTAGCATTTGAAAATGGAGTGTGGCAAGGATGCACCGATGGTGTTGGCGTGGTAGCGCTTGCGCGGCGCCCCAGTTCTGAGCTCGAGGTCAGGAGTTCGTTCCCCGATACGTATTGATCGCCCTGTCGAGGCCGGAAGTAGAACTCCGGTGCAGTGGACCTCCACCAAGTCGTAAACACCACCTTAGAAAATTCTAGAACATTTTAAAATTACTATACTGTTCCATGTACTGTGTATGGGTATCTTCTAAATCTTAATGAAGACGTACTAATAATATTGTTACATGTAAATAAAACAAAGATAAATCGACAACAATTGATTTTAACAAATAATTTTGCGACACAAAGAATTTCTAATTTTGAAACGATAATTAGACATTTTAATGTAAACTTAAGTTTCTAGATATAATACTTGAAAGTAGACCCTGGTATATAAATATTTTTGGTTTATTATCTTATACGTAAAATAGAAATATATTAAAGACTTTAAATATGTAATCAATATGTAATCAATTCCAAATTTTACATTTTATCTTTGCACCTGTCTCATCATATTTTGTATATCACCTGAAGGTCGGCTGGGAGAGAATGATCCATGGCATTAAGTCCGCCTATTTAAAACATGTGCATTAAGTTTTAAATAAATATGCATATCTAACTATCAGGAACTAACACATTTTAAACACACAATGATAGAATACCACATATTTCATAAGATTCACCGTTTTAAAATGCTCATCGTTTGTATGCTTCCAATTTAATTATTGTAAATCTTATCTTTATTAGTTATATTTTTTAACAATTAATAAAGCAAGAGCATCGACTCCGGCTGATATAGCAATTATCGAGTTTTATATACACGTGTACATTCATTATGAAACTGTAGTGACTGTACTAAGAACAGAAAACATTTCTACAATAATGCTGAGATTAAAGCAGAAACCTGCTCCGTCTTATTATAAAACGTGGACTTAAAAAAGTACCGGCTTTAGTACTAGGTTTAAACCATGACCTTGAATAAACGTTATTACAAAACGAAGTTTATCGCTAGTCCTAGAACTATCTATGGTATCAAAGTTAGACCATCGTGACCCCTAGTTTAACTATGGTACTAAATTGTCAAACGTCAAATTCTTAATTTTGAGGTTCGCTTTCGGAAAGGAATTTGTGATCAGAAACCAAAAAATGGATATTGATGCAATTGATATGTTTGATTTGGAAGATTTGAATGTGTTGGATATACTAGAAAGTTCCCGGGGACCGAACAGAGTTCGTCAGCGTCGAAATCCATTTGAATTACCTGATGAAGATTTTCGGTATAAATATAGATTTAGTAATCGTTTTCGCGAAAGGATTGTCGATTTATTACGTGAGGATTTATCCCACGATCCTCGAGGATGTCCGTTAAGCCCCGAAATGCAAGTAGCTTGCGCACTACGCAACTGGGCTCGCCATGAAGTAAGTTGGTACCTTGTAATGTTATTATGGCTAATGTGCGTCATCAATGATGTATTACTTTATAATTGTTTTTTTACAGATTCAAGACGATACTAGTGACTTACTTACATGGCGTATCTCAGCCAGTTATAAGTAATAGATGATGTCAGTGCAGCCAGTTCAAAATTCACTACGAGGGAATATTAGAAGGCAGTTTATTGAAACTCAGTTTTCATAAAATAACATTTATTATATATAACTATATTTCTTTTTTGTGATATTCATATATGTATATGTTTAATACATGTATTATATGAATGCTAAAATAAAAGCTAATGATCCTTTTTTCATAAAGATAATTATTAATAAATCAAACATAAATTAAAAGTAACTTTTATCTATAAGAAAATGCTAAAATCAGTCCTATAATACTAATGATTATTATGGGGAATATATAACCTGAAAATAATTATGTTATATTATTATGTGATTGTCAATATATTTGAAGTATTTTATTCAATAGGAGATAGATTACATTAGTTATTTATTTGAAACTCTTGACTCAACAATTTATACTTATTTTAATTATAAATTGTATTGATATCAGTCAAAAAGTGTAACTTACATTTTAATCTTTAGTAATGGTGTTAGTTTTTATCTGAGTCTCCAATAGTGCTATTTGTAATTGTAGCTTTTTAATTTTTAATTTTGATATTTCAACTTGATAGAAGTGCTGGGCTTCCAACATATCAAGCTCCTTTTTTTTTTAAATTCGGTATTACTATTTATAATAGCTTGACACCCTTCTTCATTTCTGTAAAATAAATTCTATATTATTATGTAATAATTAGACTTATTATTTTAGTGTGGTAAGCTTTATTTATATTTTCGTGGTGCCTTGATTGAAATAAAATATATTTTGTTTGCACAGTTTCACTGGTGTAGATCACTGAAAATAATAAATAATATTAATGAAACTAACCTGTATTTTTTGTAAAAAAATACAAGTCGGAATATTTAAATACCTTTAAATAACAAAACTTTAAATTTTACCCCTACAAATAACAATTCAATATTTTTCTTTATATTTCGTAACAACATTTTGTTAAAAAGGAAAGGCGCGTAGAACGCTGAACGAATGAATGAATAATTTAAATATTTTGTTGCTTATAATCTGTGGAAAATATTTAGACCAGAGACGATCTTTGGTACTAAGTAGTCCTTTGTTGGTCTACGATTTGTAATACGAATGAAAGAACTAACGTTAGTACCGTAATAAGCTTAGACCTTTTAGTCCTGGTTTAAACCTGGTACTTATGGCAGTTTTTATAATAAGACGGGCTGTGTTTTACCTCCATTACTAAGTGTAGTTGACATTGGCACAACGCACCGCTGCTGCAACGATAGAAAAAAAATGTTATTGTAGTTGATCTTCTCTGCAAAGACAACACGAGTTAATATAAATTATATAAGTAGTGTTTACTAATTGCTAAATATCTAGTAATATGATATATCAAACTCCTCAGCCAAGAAGTCTATAAACCCTTTAGCTTTACTTAAATTTATAAAATTATTTCCATAATAACACACAGTGACGAGGACATAAACACATACAACTCACATGGCAAATCGCAATATTGCTATTAGTGACACAACGGCATATAAACGAATCGTAGCTAGCAATCATATCGGCGGGGGTGTTATCGCCTCGATGGAAGTAGGGCCCGAGGTGGGTCAATGACGTTCGTTCACCCGGTTGCAACCCGCACGTGCTGGCCTCGCATCCCTCCTCCTCCCAACCGTCCCTCACTCCTCTCCGCGACCTGTGACTACAACCCACCCCTGTTTTTGAAATTTATGATGATTGTTAGTAACCTTTCGAAATACCAATGACTGCATCATTTACGTTCTAATATGCATCGACCGCAATTTATACCTGTTGTGTTTACCTCGATGAAGTATTAATAGTTGTTTTTCAAACTGACTATGAATTATGAAAATGTTTGTATTTATATGGAAAAACAGTGATCGAATGATAATATGTTAATACATTTTGTTAGATGTGCATATTTTTACATGAATAGGTAACCTTCTATACAAATATCGTTCAATGCTCTGTGCAGGCCACATTAAAATCAGACAGTTTTTGAGTAATGCAATGAATAATGAAAAAAACCTAGATTCTCATTCCATCCAGATTTCAAAGCAACCACGTAAATATGTATAAATCAAGTTGTTATCTAAACTTTAATTTAATAAAATTCAATTAAAATAACAATTCGCGTGTAGTATAGTAACCCAAGTTGAACAATTCATTAAGCTACAGGTCAATCGACTAGTCGCATGCACTAAACGTAATGATTGCAAGTTAGGTATGCAATTTGACGCACTCACCTCTCCACTTTAGTGGCTATACTATCTATGTACACAACAGTTTCATTGCCATATTCCCAGAGATCGCTATATTTATCAGTCTGGTCTGAGGACGGGCGTGGGGTGGGGCAACGCGCAGGTACTAGGTGGGTCAATGACGTTCCTTCACCCGTTGCAGCCTGCGCACCCTGAAACTAGGGCGGTTACATGCCAGCCTCGGTAAGCCTGATGCACTTCATTCCCCTTACGTAAGTGAGGGTGGAATTCTTTACACATGGAAAAATCCATCAACAATATTAGATAAGTCTAATTTAGATAGCTAGTTAAATCGTTAAGTAGTGAAACGACTGCATTTTCAATTAGTGCATAAACTTAAATATTTTGTTAATTAGATGTACTACTACTACTAATTAGTTTTATAAAATAATATTTTAGTACAGAGATTATTATCGTTAAAAGATTGACTTAATGTCTTGGTCATTTTATAGTTTCTGGTAAATCTTGTGATGCACACATAAATTAAGTAAATCATGATATATCAAATAATTTCATAGACCTTATTCACTATTTATTTAAGATGCAACTAAATAGCAATATATAATATAACAATAGTTTATGTTTGTATATTTCTAACTCAAATACGCAAAACAGATTTAGATGAAATTTAGAGGTACAGTTTACTAATAATACTTTTTAGAATAAAATAGTTTAGGTCCTTTGTGTGTTTCTGTTTGGTATATTCGTGCGTATTTTGTGGAACATTATTGAGGAATAAAAAGTATCAGTAATCTTAATTTATCTAAAATATACACGGACAAAATCGCTAAGCAGAAATTAGTAATATATAAATAGATATGTATGACATAGTTTATAATATATTATGCATGCCCATAATTTAGTACGTGTGGTGACGGATTAAGAAAACAGGCTGTCACCACCCCTATTCATCCTGTCGGTGTCGTAAGAGCCGACAGACGATGGGCAAACGACGCAGGACAACAGCACTGCAAAGTATAGGAAAACTTTAAACAAACCCTTTACCAAACCCGTCTGGCCAGCGTAGTATAGTAGGCCAAAACCTCTTTTCTCAGGAGGGGCATTTGTCCAGCTGTGGACTATTTAAGGCTGTTGATGATGATAATAAATTTGATCAATCTTCTGGAAAACGTTGTAGTTACTGATATAATATAGTCATCACTTCAAAATGGCGTTTTGACAGTTTTAGTCAAACTTATTCAGCATCTCATTTTCTACGGTTTTTAATTTTAAGGTTAATAAACATTTAGGATTGAAACAGCACAGGAGATAAAATCTTCGGGTGTATTATTTCTGGAACAAAAACAGGTAAAGCTACTTTCAGGGAAAATTGGGTCCATTGCGTAACTTTAACCGCTTGTAGCTATTAATAACAATTTACCTTATTTATTATATCTGTGTTAACGCGATGGTTCATGAATAAAGCAAATACCTTTTTGGTTTGTGTCTGGGATTCCCATGCTGTATAAATTTAATGGGTGGCTTCAGCTGTGGTGGTGAATGTTATCAGATACGATTAGCCCCCCGAAATACCACCCGCCGATAGCTATGTCGAACTCGAACCGACTAAAAACCGCACGCCGTCTCAGGTACCAGTAGCCAGGGAACCAGGTGTCCCCTAGAAAGGAAATCCCTGGTGCCCTGACGTACCTCGGGCCATCTACGGCGGGTAGATGGCCCGAAACAAGGTTATGTTTTACAAATATATCTATATGACTGTAGGTAGCGTATACACAGATACACATTTTCAGCATGGTTAGTATTTCCATTGCCAATTTCTGCTACTGCAATTCCAATGAGCAAATTTTATTCAAATTATGTAGTTCTTGGTCTCCGTGCTTGATTGCTTTGTATAACTTTGCTTTGGTAACCGGTTTTTGGCTTAACAATAGGTAATTACTGCTACAGACTACAAATTAATTATTAATATTAACTTGACCCTGACTGATCAACTTTTCAATGCAGGCTCTTGATTAAATTTGCTTTAAGTGTAATATTTTCAAGTTTACCTGTATTATTTTAAACACGTACGAGTACAATATTAATTCACAAGTTCAATGTGATCTGTGTCTATTTTCATATATAATATACAAACGTAGAACTTACGTTTTTAGTATAAATTAATACTCCATTAAAACTCCTGTTTTCTATAATATACTTTTATCCATAAGTAATAACAGAAAACAGATTAATAAAGATTTGATACTGTTCAAATCGCAGATAAATAATAGGAGATTCTTACAAATAATTGTAAGAATTTATATGCCAATGCTTCTAGTATATGCAATAGCATATATCTACGATATTTTTGCGAAACACTTACTTGACACCTCTATCCGCGTGTGCATAATAACTCTACATGCGATAACTGTGACGTTACCTAACAAGTGGAACAACAGGTAAGCGTCAACGACACTAATTCAATTATTGTTTTTACGAATTAGAACATTACATAAGTATAGGTTGATGCTTGCGTTAAGCTTATTGCATCTAAGTACTAAATGCTCAATGTATAAGTACCAAACACTACTGGAGCCTTCGCCAATGTACTCGTAAAAGTAGATAGAATGTCTAAGTCAGCCAGGCCAGTAGGAGCCAAGGCTAGGTTGGGTGAATGTGCTAATAAAATATAAACTTTATTGCTTGTACGAAAGAATAGAAAATAGTATGATCTAGGTTGTCAATGACGTTCGTTGACTCGAGCGTTCGATGCCGGCGTAGTGCTGTTTTCCTTCTCCGTTTTCATGCATTGATATTAGAAACTATGGATGCTATTTCTTTAATAATATTCCCCGTCCAATTTCTCTGTTACTCATAAACTTTCAAACGAGAAGTTGTAAAACATTGTTTTCGCAATGTTGACCTTATGTACTTTGCGAAACAAACAAGTTTCATTCTTGCATTTTAATATAATTAACCTTGACTGTACAATGCATATTTAGATCTGATTACAACTAAAATAGATAGAATCACTCTTGTAGTCTTTACAATACTTGCAATAAATAAAATACAATATGCTCTAATGAAAAAAATATGGAATATATGTTTGTAGGTATCAGGGTGGTCTTCCATTACAGTTTTTTCGATTGTATTTAATGTATTATTCGTGTTATATAATATTTTAAAAAATATAGCTAATAAACCATACATATAAGTATCAAACACGTTTATTGAACTAACAAATCAATGTTACAATGAACATTCGGCGTATGTATGTAAGTAGTAACGTAAAGTAGTAAGATGATGGAATTCAAGGTCCGCTGCTGGATGTGCGGTGATTCCGCGTCCGATCTATCATGTCGAAATACGTAGCTATTTTAAACGGCAGAAGGTTTATTTCATTTGTCGTCTTGCAAGTACAGCACCAGTTATACAAGACCTTCGGAGCCTGTCGCTCACCACGACCATGTATCTAGTTAGAGGGAATCGTGCGCACGTCAGAGGTCTCTGTTAAATGGGCGGTGTATACGTGAGGTGGCTCGGAGCTCGTGACCCAATTTCGCAGCTGCTGGTTTCAGCAGCGGCGTGGGGCGCCGCGGGGCGGTAAGAGATGCGCGGGCGGCGAAGCGGCGGCCAGCGGCGGGAGGCGGGCGCATGTCAATGCCGTTCGTTGACTCGAAGCAGCGCAGCGGCATCGACGCGGCCTCCGCCTTACATAACCAACAACAATGAGCGTTCAGCGAATGCGTGTGATGTACCGTAAGCGACCCCACCATAAGGTGCTGAGACACCAACACTAGGGTACTATTGACTATTCACAGTCAGGTACAGGAGTATTATAAACTTGTGCTTGCGCCTAAGCTATTACTATAAGTATATATATTTACATGAATTTAAAAATATACAAGAGACAACTTTAATGAGCAAACTTTAGACTTAGAAACAGCAACACATGACACTGACATATTTACTGTTAACGGTTGTCGCCCTAAGTATTAAGATATTGCAGATATTATTGAAGCAATAGCAATAATATAGTACGTAGTACTAACAGACCCAATTAACAAAATTTACTATCCCCAATACAACGAAACTAAATAATTATATATTCATCTTATATAGCTAAAAGATCATGGGTCACAAGAAAAACTCAAAAGTCACTGTAAAGTTCTCGGTTATGTATTTAGTACGAGTATGAATGAGTAAAGTCGGAAAAGTCGTGTTAACTGTACTGGTTCATAGGGTCGCAACAATGAGCGTGTGAGGGCGGGCCGCCCGCCGGCCGGCATGAAGCCCGAAAGTGAAAGATGCGCGGGACCGCGGGGACGAGGCGGGTGCGGGGTCGGTGGGCCGTGTCGACGCGCCAGCACCGCGGACCGCGCCGCGCGCTAACACTAGCGATCCGAGTGCACCGCGTCGCAGCCTCACGCAAACAAAACTTTAGTTACTAACCTACTTCCGTGCGGGCGCCAACCGCGAGCGCGTCTCCCGCTTCGTTGCACGCTCGTTCGCCCCGTGTGTACAACGAGTACCACTGGCGTTACCGTCGTCGCTGCGAGCGATACTTTATGACACGTTACAGTGATGAACTGTTTTATGAAAACGATTGAATAGTATACTCTTTGAACGGTCCGGCTTTGGCCGTTGATTTTGAATGGACACAAACTCGATAAAGCTGACCGGACAACAAGGGCAATTGAACAAAATGTTTTATGGTGAGATGACGTTGTGTACGTCTTGTTACAGCTTTTATGTTCTTTATTTTTTTCACGTTGGCATGCACTTCGCAGTCTCGTCGTTACATTATTTCTTTTCTAATAAATTATAGACGGCCACGCACACACTGCACGTAAAACACGTGTTTTTCCGTTAAAACTGAAAGTTTTTAAAACCTATTATAAATAACTCCACAGATAATAAAATACATATTATATGAATCATAGCATCATCATCATCATCATCAACAGCCTATACTAGTCCACTGCTGGACATAGGCCTCTCCTTAGAAAGGAGGTTTAAATCATAGCATACATCTAGGCTTATTACTGGTTTAACTAAATTTTTATCTAAATTATCTATTTTTTTAACCTGCCGCTACAGTACCTTCTCTCATTCTCCGGTACAAAATTACTACTCGCTTAATTTATCCATTTGTCAATCTTTCGTCATACACCTATACGATTTTGGTTTCTTATCATTCGGCTTAAATCTTACTGTCCGCTTGCTATAATGTTGTAAAATAAATAGATATTGTGTGTTAGCTTGGCTTCTTATGCACTTAAATCTTTAGTTGTACTGTAGCTAAATATATAATGTTGTTCTTTTCTGTGATTATAGTTACTTTAAATTTATTTTCGTTTAAAAATGGCAAGATAAAATGGCTTGATTAGCGGCCATATTGAATTTGTCTATGCGATGCCAATGGCGCCCTCTAGTGGCAAATGGGATTTATATAATTTTAGTGATAACATATTTTGGCCGCTTTATTATACACATTTGCTAATAAACACTTATTTATATACTTATTAATTCAATAAAAACGTAGGTTGCCTTATATTTATGATTCGTATTTATATCTTTATCTTTATTAGCATTTAGAAGTATATCATGTGTCATACATTTTGTCTTTTGTATTACTACCTATGAGGGAGTAAACAATTAAAGAAATATTCATAAGTACCTACCTACTTACTTTATCATGCATAGACAAGACGATTATAAAATAACTAAAACAGATTATATAATTAAATTACTACTATCGTTACTTCACAAACTTGCACAATTTCTTAGATGTAAATGAAAACTCTTCAAATATAAAAATATAACTTATGCATAAACGATATTAAAGTTACCAGTTAGTAACTGTAACGAATTAACTTAGAACGTTTTTATTCAAATGACTGAATAACGTAATATTTTATAACAACATTTGATCACTTAGTTCATTAAAGAATTTAGGGTGCGGGTTGAGTGTATATTATATACATATGTAGGTATAGTAATACATCAGAGCACGTTAAGCTCATAAATAGTACATTTAATACAAGTATACACATATTTTACACATACTTGGCAGGACACTAAAAAAATATATATCATATATTTACGTTACCAATGATTGTAAAATGAATGAAAAGCAAAATACCAAGTATTTACAATAAATGCAATTACTTCAATCTTATTTTAAATTGAATAACCTAGCAATAATGACAAAATTAACTGAGAAAAATTGAGAAAATAGTTACAACACACATGTTAAATAAATAAAAACCGGTATAGAAACGTGCCTAGCTATCACCAAAAATAGCACGTTATATTTAAATCTAAAACCATACATGTGGTTAAACTATATTGTTTTTATTGTTTTTATATTGTTTTTATTGTTTTTATAGATACGTAATATTAACGATGATCTTACGGGTATATTTGAACAATCTTGTATTCAACTACTACATTGACAGAGAGTTAGCAAACATGGTTTAAAATATCCATTTATTATACTGCCGGTATCTGCTTGTTGAGATAACTACTGCATTTACTGGTTAAAAACCTACAATGTTGTAAATTTGACTTACCAAACTACACCATCAATTTTAATAAACAATTCTCTTCATGATAATTTTTAATTATAGTCCCTCAAATTTTGTAACAATTAAGGAATTATTAACAAAAAATGCGTAACAATTTGTTTAAAAGGGCAACCGTTAGTAGATTAGCTACAAGGTGTTTGCTTTGTCAGATGAAAATTATAACTTTTATCATATTTATATATTTGTTGCTACCACCAATTAAAACTGATATCTAACCTGATCACCTGTTCAATTTAGTTCTTTAATGAACATCGTTACTAGATTTACGGTTATGAGCGTAAAGTATCGTAAAAAAAATACGTTCAATTTGTCGCTGTTTACAGTACTCGTATTTGTAAAAGGGTTAAAATTCATCAAGTTGACATTAAAAAGTCCGACGACATTTCGAAATCATGGCAATCGTCATGGCCAAGGCCCGCTGGAAACCATTGACCATGTAACTTACGAAATTTTTACCACTTATTTTTGTCAATATTAAAAGTATTACGTATGTATGATTTTCTACACTGTTTTTAACATTAAAGAGGTCGAGATTCTTGAATTTAAATTATGAAAATTTCAGCTACTTTTGTTCTATTACTTGTTTTTCAAACACATTTTCTTTTTGATTAATTTTAAGACAACAGTTTAAAGCATTAACTATAATATGTTATGGTAAATTGATGATCTAATGAAAACTTTTAAAGAGGTACCTTTTTTCTGTTTTGAAATCCCCTTGAATACCACCCACCGGTGGGTATGTCGGTCTCGAACCGACCAAAAACCGCACGCCGTCTCGGGTACCAGTAGCCTGGGAACCAGATATACCCTAGAAGAAAATCCCTGGTACTACGACGTACCTCGGGCCATCTACTCTACGAGTTCTATACATCTCCATCTCCTTCGCAAGCATAACTTGCTGGCAGAAGGAGACAACAGAGTTCCACGCACTCTCGCTCCTCACCATCGCCCCAATCATTTAATCGAGCGAGAGGACTCCCACTCCAATGGCCACTACGAGGTCACGCCTCTGCTCCATTTAAAGAGTTACCTAAAAAAAATCATTTGATAGGCACTGATATGCACTGCTTCTTTCCAACATTACTAGTTAAGTTTTGGGTGAGAATTGGACCTGAAATACGTTATCATCCGAATATCATATACAAATGTTAAGTTAGATTCTCAACAAGTCAATGTTAGCGATTGAGCTCAAATTTTAACACGATTTACAAATCACTTCAAAGATTGTTTCCACCTATTTTTTGTATCAGTTGTGCCATAGGAAAGCGTGGCAGGGTACAGCCAGTTACTCATAAATCGTTATACACAATGTATTATTTAACTTATGTAAAATAATGAGGTATAATTTAGGCTCGGTTAGTGATATTTAGAGCGACAATTATGTGAGTTCATTCGTAGTAGGTACTATCCGTAGGGTGTGCACGAACAAGTGTGTGTCGTGTGCGCGGATGTGTGCGTCGATTGAAGTGTTACGTTTGTGTGGATTTTTGACTAAAACGCGCACACTGGCCCATCGTGTGCGCTCTCGAATGAAACTGGGTCGGTTCAGTGACCCATATGTTTATCTAACGATTGTGCGTCGAGCGCGAAAGGCCCGCGCCCGTAGCGCCTCGCGGTGTTATCTTTATCAATGCGTTCGCGTTTTCGTTTAGGTTATCTGTCAGGCAACCTGGCTCCTGCACTATATTGATTAATAATCACGAAATGTGACATATGAATACGAATACACTACATATATGTTTCATTCAGTTAAAGTTGGCCACGATACAATCTTTTAGTTTCGTTTTGTCTTTAATCGTTTAACTCTCATATGTCCTATGAATAGTCATATTTTAAGATATTAATAAAATTGACTACTCTTAGCGTTGAGTTTAGGTCGGGTAGTTATATTACTTCGTTAATTTTTTAAATCTTTAAGGCTGCTAGCAATGAAATTAATAGAAACTACTTTAGTTTTACTTTAGTTTTACTAAACAAATTTCACTACGACAACTGCTCACCCGACCCTCACAACTGCAGCGGTTTAAGCATAAAGGGGTACCTTTATGCTTAAACCGCTGAACCGATTTAGATATAATAATAATATAATAAGATATTATTATTATATCTAAATCGTGAAATTAACAAAACATGAAATTTGGTATGGAGATAGTTTGAGTTGTAGGGAAGGTTATAGGCTTTACACC